ATATATATATATATATATATATATATATATATATATATATGAACCTTAGAAGAAAAACCTAGGCAAAACCATCCAGGACATAGGCATAGGCAAGGACTTCATGACTAAAACATCAAAAGCCATGGCAATAAAAGCCAAAATAGACAAGTAGGACCTAATTAAACTCCAGAGCTTCTGTACAGCAAAAGAAACAATCATTAGAGTGAATCGGCAACCAACAGAATGGGAAAAAATTTTTTCCCAATCTACCCATCTGACAAAGGACTTAAATCTAAAATCTACAAAGAACTAAAACAGATTTACAAGAAAACAAAGCCATTCAAGAGTGGACAAAGGATATGAACAGACACTTTTCAAAAGAAGACGTATATGAGACCAACAAACATTAATGCTCATCTTCACTGGTCATTAGAGAAATGCAAATCAAAAGTACATTAAAATACCATTTCATACCAGTTAGAATGGCGATCATTAAAAAATCTGGAGACAACAGATGCTGGAGAGGATGTGGAGAAATAGGAACACTTTTAAACTGTTGATGGGAGTGTAAATTAATTCAACCATTGTGGAAGACAGTGTGGTGATTCCTCCGGGACCTAGAAATAGAAATTCCATTTGACCCAGCAATCCCATTACTGGATATATATCCAAAGGATTATAAATCATTCTATTATAAGGATACGTGCACATGAATGTTCATTGCAGCACTGTTTACAATAGCAAAGACCTGGAACCAACCCAAATGCCCATCGATGATAGACTGGACAAAGAAAATGTGGCACATATACACCATGGAATACTATGCAGCCATAAAAACATGAGTTCGTGTCCTTTGTACCGACATGGATGAACCTGGAAACCATCATTCTCAGCAAGCTGACACAGGAACAGAGAATCAAGCAATGCATGTTCTCACTCATAGGTGGGTGTTGAACAATGAGAACACATGGACACAGGGAGGGGAACATCACACACTGGGGTCTGTGGGGGGGAAATAGGGGAGGGACAGTGGGGGGTAGGGAGTTGGGGAGGGATAACATGGGGACAAATGCCAGATAAAGGTGATGGCGATGGAGGCAGCAAACCACATTGCCATGCATGTACCTATGCAACAATCCTGCATGTTCTTTACAAGTACCCCAGAACCCAAAATGCAATAAAAAATATATAAAGCAAAATAATTGCATTAAGCATTCAATAATATTTTGCCTTTCAGATATACATTTTATCCACATTTATTACTAATGGAAGAATTTGAAACAGTCCTTGCAGGAAAAAAGGCTTAAGAGTAAAAGGTTTCTTAAGCATAGATCAAAAATATCCTGAACATTTAGGGCTATTGCCAGAAAATACTGGTTTATGAAAAATATAAATTCTGGACTAGGCCCTGTGGCTCACGCCTGGGATCCCAGCACTCTGGGAGGCGAAGGCAGGTGGATCACTTGAGGTCAGGAGTTCAAAACCAGCCTGACCAACATGATCAAACCCCATCTCTACTAAAAATACAAAAACTTGCTGGGCGTCGTGGTAGGCACCTGTAATCCCAGCTACTCAGGAGGCTAAGGCATGAGAATTGCTGGAACCTCGGAGGTGGAGGTTGCAGTAAGTCAAGATTACATCACTGCACTCCAGCCTGGGCAACAAGAGCAAAACTCCATCAAATATATATGCACACACATATATGTGTGTATATCTATGTTTATATATTTATAAATATATATAAATTTTAAAATATATATATGTATATATATATAAATTCTGACATGGGACATAGACAAGTGTTTTTAAATTTTAGCATAAATAAGCAACATCGGGACACTTATCAAGAGGTGGCTTCTTGGAAGTAGCCTTCAGGGATTGTAATTCAGTGCATCTGGGGTAGGGTCCAGGAATCTGTGTGCTTAGCAGCAGTGCCCCATAATCTGGAGCGCTCGCCCATGTTCAAGTCCTTTACCTTTGCAGACGTGCAGCAGCTGCATCTCTAGGAAACAGACGGCAGAAGCACCCTACAACATCACTGCAACAGCAGTGATTTACCTCTAAGGAGAAGCACACATTTTGAGCATGGTAAGAGATTTTTTTTTAATGCAATGCTAGAAGTCCATTTTTACCTGGCACTTAGAGACAAGACTGCCAATGTTGTCATTGTCTTCATTTGTAAGCAGGTTTCACTTCAGACTTTGGTGGCATACGGTAGTTGTGTGTCAGTGGGCAGGATTTACCCCCATGCTTACCTCAGTTCTCTTAATCATGGGCTGGGCTTTAACAATCTTCCTACAAATGGAATGAGGTGCCTGGTGATGTGGGGGCCCCTGTCCCTGGAAGCATGAAGGGAACACATGCTGGATCACCTGTTAAATGTCATTACAGTGTTGCTGTGTCATTTGGGAGAGTGTAATACTTAGTCCATAATCTTCAAGTCCCTTCCAGTTTTAAAATTCTGTGATTTGAGGTCAACTTCACTGCCACCGAATAGGTCTTGAGTACATATTTTCGGAATGGAAGCAGTTAATACATATTTTCGGAATGGAAGCAGTTAATACATATTTTCGGAATGGAAGCAGTTAATACATATTTTCGGAATGGAAGCAGTCAAATGCACCCCAGGTCGTAATTCCCTTCTCTGTGTTTCTTTTGGCTGGGTTTCTTTCTCTGTAATTGCATAGTTGGCTGGGATGCATCAAATGATTACCTTCAGAGGAAGGATGCAAGGAAGGGTTCCGACTCAGAGTGGGTTCCCCAGGCTCAGGGATAAAGAGGGATCCTTTGAGTCCCAGCACTGAGTTCTAGAACTCAATGCAGGAAACTAAGGAGAAGAACAATTTGCTAGGCAGCTTTGAGGGGGACTAGGAGTAGCAACTTAACGTTGCAGCTTGCTTTCTCTTTTACAAAATACTTGCTCTTAAATCATCTCATTTGCCCTGCGCAG